TTCAAGGAAAGCCTAATCGTAGTAAGAAATCTTTAGGCAAGCCGAAGGGGAAAGCTCCTCTCGAGAAAGAGGAAGTGGCAGCTGAGGATACTAAGCGCAAGTGCAAGCATGGCAAGAGCGCTCAAGGGACAAATCAGCCTTGACGTGGTTCAACTGCGGGAAAACCAACAATTTCGCTCATGAGTCGAAAAAGGTATGAACCGATCATTCCATTGTTTTTGTTAATATGTGCACATAGGTGCTAGTTGATCATGCATTGTCTAATGGTTGGATGGTGGATTCAAGAGCAACGTAATGCATAGTGAGGGATGAAGGCGAGTTCGTGCAGCTTCACTAAGTTCTAGTGGGAGGTGTGAAGATATCCATGGGAAACAACGCCTCAGAAGCTGTGGTGGGGGTGGGGACTTATCGTTTGGAGTTTCAATCTGGTTAAACCATGTTTCTTCATGATGTACTCTACATTCTTGGGATGAGGTGGAGACTACTCTCAGTAGCCAAGCTCTCTTTAGAAGGACACTTGATTTCTTGTTTAGATAATAGGGTTCAAAATTAAACTCAAGAATGGATACGTTTTTGGTAGTTTTCTTCATGATGGATTATTTACTTTGGATTTGGATTATTCCTTTAGTTATTCATTTATTCTTATTTATGATTCATTCCTGCCCTCTTTTTCTTATTCCACTTTGCATGATGATGATTTTATGTTATGGAATGCAAAATTAGGTCACATTAGTAAATATAGGATGACAAGATAAGTCAAAGAAGGGCTTTTGGGGTAATTAACCAAAGTAAACCTACCTTGTCTAATGGAAAATCTACTAGGAAACCATTCCTTAAAGCTCAAATATCAAAAGAACCCTTAGAAATCATGTACTCTGATATATGTGGTCTCTTTAATGTGAAGGCCAGTACTTCATCAATTTTATTGATGATTACTCGCGCTATGGTTATTTGTACTTGATCTCACATAAATCTTAAGCAGATTTAAGTGGGATGTTGAGAACCAGTTAGGGAAGATGATTAAGGTTCTCAGAGCTAACAGGGTGTGCGAGTACACTTTTGAGCTGTTTAGAAAACTTTGTGAAGATCATGGGATTCACAAGCAGGAAATGATATCCTATATTCTGCTGCAAAATGGTGTTGCAGAGAGAAAGAATCGTACCCTAATGGACATGCTGAGGTCCATGATGGCACAAGAGAATCTCCCAGTGACTTTTTGGGGAAATGCTTTGTTGACCATTGTGTACATCCTAAATGGGATGCCTTCGAAGTCAGTACTCAAAACCCCTTATGAGTTGTGGACCGATAGAAAGCCTGACCTATCACACTTGTGCTCATGGGAGTCAACTGGGTTGGTGCATATACCAGCTCAGTTGACCAATAAAACAGATAAGCGGTTCACTAAGTGTATTTTCATTAGATATCCTAACAACTCAAAAGGGTATGTCCTATGTTACGAATCTGAAGAGGGTGGCTTGAAAAAGGTCGAATCCTGCGATGTGGACTTTATTGAGACAAGTTCCTTAGCAAGAAAAGGTCTAGGTTGACACTAAACCTATATGAGATGGCTGGTGCTCATACGAAGAGTGGTGAGGAAATTCCTCCACTACTAGATGACAATAGAAGTATTCCCATGGACATTGAGGATAGTGGGAGTGAACCACCACTCATTCCTAAACCACGTAGAAGTGCATGTGGTAGAGTTCCCCAGAGACATTTTGAGATCAAAGGGGAAGGTCTAACCTACATCTCCATTGATGAGGATGAATCAGGAAGCATTGAGTTCGTTTAATGTAAGCAAGTGGGTTGCCACAATGGATGAAGAGATTGGATCTATAGAGAAGAACTGAGTCTGGGAACTTGTGGATCTTCCTCCTGGTAGAAAGGCCATCAGGGACAAGTGGGTTCTAAAAATTAAGAGAAAGGCCGATGGAACTATAGACAAGTACAAAGCCCAATTAGTGGCAAAAGGGTTCACCTAGGCTAAGGGTGTGGACTACCGGTCGTGAGAATAGCATCAATCACCTCATACTTGCCATTGTAGAGCATTTGGACTTGAAACTTTACCAAATGGACGTTAAGACATTGTTCCTTAATGAGAATATGGAGGAAGAGATATACATGGAACAGCCAAAGGGCTATGAGATATGGAGGTGATTTATGCGATAGTAGATATTTAATTTATTCATTAACTCCAAAAGTATCAACTGTCAGAGATTATGTATCTACTATCGCTGATAGATCATAGAAGACAGTAGAAAATAGAAACTAAAAACTTGAACTAACTTCATAAACATTCAGCAACTATAATCACAAATTTGCAACTACAAACTTTAAAGTTACAAACTAAAAGTCTATGAAGAATTAAAGAGATTAATAGTCCAGACAAATCATCATCATTTCTCAAGTCTTGTGACTCTAAATCTCATATCTTAATCATGCAAATTATCTAGAGAATCTCCATATGCATCATCATCATCACTATCATCCTCAGCCTCCACATATTGTTCTTCCTCGATCTCCTCTGAGTTAGCCTCCTCCTCCTCGATCTCTGGTGCGGATGTGTGATTGGACCCAGTTCTATCTCTTATGCTCAAGTGTTACGATGTACTTCTTCATTAACCCTTGTGGCTAGTTCGGCATCAAGCCAAGTAAGATCCTCATCCTCATCCTCAAACACATGTTCTACTTGTGGATCCATGGTTCACTCACTTGTGCAATCAACATCAGGTTCATACAATCGAATTGAGTTGAGGTCCATGCGTTTTTGATACCTCTCCCTAAGCCCGCTCGTTATATCACACATAAACAAATCATTCAACTTTTTCTGCTCCAACCTATTTCTTTTTTTGGTATGGATTTGTGGTACAAAACAAGGAAACAAGCAAAAATAATAGGTGTTATTTTTCTGTTTTTACTTTTACACTTTAGATAAGTTAGATTTTAGAAAATTGAAAATTAAAATCCAAGAAATAAAGATTAAGGACTTACATGCTCAAATGTACTCCAATTGTATTCGCAACCATATGAGCTACATATAAGACTCAACACTCGAATAGCGAGACGTTGTAGCTTTGGTGTCTCACTTTCATATAATACTCACCATGCAGCTGTATAATATTTTATAATTTAGATAAATATTTAATTATTTATAAATGGAACTATATAGGTAAAAAACTGTAAAGAAAAAAGAATAGAAAGTGCACTTTGGGCCTTTACCTGGATCTGTAGTGTCCTTGCTTGGAGTAGCAATCTCTCTCTCAAAGTTTCCCAATGCTAAAGAGAATAGAGAGAAAAAGTCACGTGGGGATCCCTACAACATCTCTCTCCCCTTCCCATGATATTTTGAATTCTTCAGTAATCCAATATATTCCTCCCCATTTCTCTCTCTTTATCCATTTAGTCAACAACCCAAATATCCAAAGAGCCCCCATACCTACAAAGGGGTGGGGCCCACCAAATTCCAACAAGAACAATAATGAAATATAATTAATGGAAGAAAGAAAAGCAGAGCAGTGACATCTAAAAGATGTATCAAGAGGTTCAAAATAAACTGAATAGTAGAAACAAGCGTATGAGAGGTGCGATGAAGTGACCTAAATGAAGTGGAGGGCATATAAGTTTTCTGATGCTGCTGTCCAAGACTTTTAACTGGTTTCACTGAGTGTAGGAAACTTTAAAGCATATAAAACACTCTAGTCGATGCGCAATTTATCGATACCTTCTACTACAGGTCTCCAACAGATCTGCCTCAATTTCCTGAAAGAATGGGTATGAGATAGGTTCATTAATAGCAGGAGCTAAGTCAGTTATAGTACTCTTAATAGAAGTCATTATTCTGAGCAACTTCAAGTTTTCTTGCATGAGGATCATAGAGAATCTAACCATTTTGATCTGAAATATGGTCCAAAAATCTGCATTCAGCAACTTTTAAAGGAAACTCACATTCACACGTTGAAGCACAAAGCAAACAAAAAACCAGATATATGAAATTGTTTAATAAGGCCACTGTTCACCAAGAGATTTAACATGAGAAATGAATATCAAAGATGTTTATAATCAGGTTCCCATTGATTTCTTGCAACACCTATAGTAGTAGTATTAAGAAAGACACCTGTAGGGAGTATCTTTTGCCTTTTTGCTATTCTTGTTCATTACCTTTTTATAAAAGAAACACTGAGGCCTCAAGTTGTAAAATATGACCCTTAGCCATGACAATAATACATTTTTTATTAAGATTGAGGTTGTGATATCTTCCTTTTTTAATTAGTTTTAAGTTGGCATGTCCATCACCTGCCAACAAGTTCCAAATCTTAAAACTTCCATACACTTTAGGGGCACAATGGTTGTGCTAGAAGGAAGTTCGGGAACTTCGTATGTCTTCAAAATATTGGGGAACTTGTGGTTGGCTTTTCATGCCATTCTCACCTTTATCAAGATTCAATGTAGACACTAGTGGTTCTCGTCAAATTTTAGAAATAACCGCAACTGCAAAATAATGTCACATGTCAAGAGCTCAAACCTGTGAACTCTCTCTCTCTCTCTCTCTCAAAGTTGTGGATTGGAAGCTGAACCCAAAGTCTAGCTTGAGGGACTAGGAGCTTCAAATCCCAAGGCTACAGGGGTTTATACCATTAGAGAGGTTTCTATCTGTTCTGTTTGTGTGGTGCTAATACGTTACATGTTTTCATACAGGAAATCCACGAAGTTGGACTCTGCTTCCAAAAATCCTTATGGACTCATCTTTTCTTTTCTCTTTTTGGTTGTTTATTCAAATTAAAGAGAAATGACTATGCTAAAAGCTGGCAGTTTTGCGGCAGACCTGTTAAATAAATTGTAGCAGCGAATATGCATTAAGCATTCTCCCATCTTAGCTCTCTCTCTCTCACACACATATGTAAACCCACCCACCTGCCAAGGAGTGCTTTAAACACTAAACTTATTGAAACTCATAAGGTTGTATTGGCTTTTCATGTTAACTCGCGCCTCCAATAACTCAGGAGAAACAAAGAGAAAATTTGAAAGTGTACACAAGGGGGGGACCATGAGCACCCCTGATTCAGGCCGTGTTTTACAATACTGGCATTGTTGTGGTTCTGAAGACCCATTTGATCCAGGGTGCACAGCCGCTCCACACCAATCTTATGATGATTAATATGCCGTAACCCTGTTATTTTCACCACAAGCATAAAGCTGTGATTTTTTGCATCAATGTATGTAATGTATCACATTGTGGATTGGGGAGTAATGATGGATGTGTTTTCACCAATGTGGTGCTCTTCTCCTGTATATGATTTAGAACCCCAGCTTCCTCTTTTTCATCTGCCATATGTTTCCAAAGATATTGTGTGTAGATGAGGCATAGTACATACATTATGTGTATGCTTTGGCATATATAAGGACTTCCAAGAGTTCTCTGAAAGAAAATTTTCAGTACAAGTGATGTGTATACAGTGTATCCGTACACCATCTGTCCCAACACGGATGGTGGAGATGAGCAGTGGAATGTTGATGAAGGAGCTTTTATTGATGCCACAATTTATCTCTGTTGACAATGGTAACTGATGGTGGATGCTCTGCGTGTGAATGCTACAGCAGACACATTATGTCTAGTTGATTACATTCTATTTCAAATAACTCTTTGCAAAATCTCAGTTCCTATTGTCTAGTTGATTACAATCTCATTTCAAAGAATTCACTAAAGCGAAAATGTGAATGAATTCGAGAATAATAACCACCTGTTTAGTCTAGGAAATTGCTTGTAAAACATTGTAGTTTAAGTTGAGAAAACGCCTCTAATACTGAAGAATAAATTTGATTACCGATCAAGATTCCGCCTTCTATTGCCATGTGCAAGTTCTTGGGATGTAAACTACTTAACTGCACTCACTTAAAACTGGATGTGAGCATGCACTGCACAAGCAAGTGGTGCTACACCATAAGGTACACAGGTGGTAGTTCTAATAAAGAGAGTATAAGACGAAACTATTTACTTTTAAGTCAAGGAGTTCACACTTATTCCTAGCCATTAAATGTGAAATCAAATGGTTAAGGATGTGCTATTGATTGTGTAAAAATGCTCAATAAATTTTTTTTCAAACTTTGTGCATTGTTTTTAGTGTCTGAATTTCGAAACTAATGTCTTGAAATGATTGTGACCTTCCAGTACAAAAAATAAATGGTCTCACATAATACATTCCCTTCTCAAAATCCCCCGCATTGTCACAGTCAGTTATGTCCAATAGATTCTTTGAACTTTTATTTTATCACAATAAAGTCTTTTATCAATAAGAACTTCAATAGTGATCCAGTCAAATCAATGTCACAACAAATTAAGGTTTCTATTACTTTTTTGAGAAACGACTTTCCCTGACAATATCAGAAATGAAATTGGAAAGCACAATTGACAATGTGAGTTTTAAACGAAGGTGTATCCAAAGAACTGATAGCGGATATGTACATTAATCCACTTGAGTGGTGAAAGATTTATATTATTTTCTAGTGTCAAGTGTTCAGGGACTCGGCAAAGTGTACTTGGTACTCGGTTGCGTAACTCAACCTTGGCAGCTTGCCACGGTGTCTTTATTTCACCGAATCGGCCTTCATGAAATCCCTTAAAAACTCACAACTTTTTTTTAAAAAAAAACAACTCTAATTTATGATTTAGAAATCTGTTTCAATGCGATTTTTAGGTTTTTATGATAATTTGTGAACTTTTTTTATTACATGATTAAATATTTCAGTCAACATATTCAAAATAAAAATTTAGTTTTTCTTTTTTCTTTTTAATTTCTTTTTAATTTTTATGTAGTATTTTAAGTCAAGTAAACATTATATAGAGTCGAGGCTCAAAACAATCAAATTAGAACTCACCTCAAAAAATTCACTAGAAGAAGTTGTTTTGATGCCCAAATATTCTCAAATTGATCATCTCGACATCAAGAAGCACACACATGAGAAAAAAATGGATTTCAAGTTTTGGAAATAGTATATTTTGTAATGCATTTTGGACCGTCAATTTTCAAGTTTTCAAATATCTGTTCAATCTATACTATTTTTTAAGCTTTTAATTTTATAATTAAAGATGAAAATACATTTTAGGGCTATCTCTAAGATTTCCAGTATTGAAACCACATTTCTCGATACTATTTGAAGGTGCGCTCTACTTTGATTGTTTAGCGCCTCGGCTCTATACAAACTGCACCCTTTAAGTAAAACTCAATTTTTTAATAATCCATCTTTTATATAATTTTTATCCTGTATATCTATAGCATATTTAGTTTTTTCTTATAAGTATTTTAACAAATTTCCTCTTTTTTGTTGGCCTATTTTTGTGTTGTGTAGGACTTGGCCAAGTCCACTCAGACTCGACTAAGTAACTCCATTCGAGCCGAGTCTAAGGCCTAAGCCGAGTGTCAGAACATTGCGAGTATTTCAATTTTAATATAAATCATTATCATCATCATCTGAGCTTTATCCTTATTATTTAGGGTCGACTACAATAATCTAGTTCCACCATTCTACTCTATTAAAGGCTTTACCCTCAAGTTGTACCATAAGTTACGTTACCTTTCCTCGGTACTTTCATCCATGTCCTTTTGGGCCTTCCTTTATCTTTTTAGAGTCTTCCACTCGAACCAAATTGTCATCCTAATCAATGTTGTATTAAGCTTATATTGCCTATAGCCAACCCACCTAAGTTTCTTTTCTCTCATCTTATTGCCTATTGGAGCCACCATTAAATTCCCTCGTGTGTATTCATTCTAAATTCTATCATTTCTTGGCTTGCCGCTCATTCATTTCAACATCTTCATCGCAGCCACACTCATCCTATGGATATATTGTTTCTTGACCACCAACTTTTTGTCCTATAAAGCATGGCTAATCTTATAACTGTTTCATATAACTTTTTCTTCAGTTTCATAGGTGTGCGGCAATCACATAAAACTTTGGAGACACTTCGCCACTTCTCTCACCCAGCTCTAACTCTATGCGCAACATCTTTCTCAAATAGCTTTATTTTCTTAAATTATTGATCCAAAATATCAAAAATAATTTTCATATACATAAAAAACTTTTGGGAAATGATCAAAAATATACTTTAATTTTTGCCTTATTGGTAAAAAAACCATAAACTTTTATAAACCTTGTCCACACCCTTTTTTCCTCGATTTTGGCATTTTTGATCAAAATAGCCTTAACGATAGTCGTATTACCGTAATGCTTAGCATGGTCATTATGGTACTTAAAGTACCATAATGTGGTAGTCATTACAGTAATACGACTACCGTGAAGGCTATTTTGGTCAAAAAATACCAAAATTAAGAAAAAAGGGTGTGAACGAGGTTTATGAAAGTTGAGGGGTTTTTTTTTCAATTAGACGAAAATTAAGGTATATTTCTGATAATGGAAAATTATCAAAAACACTCTTTAATTTTTGCCTAATTGGAAAAAAAAAAAACCAACTTTCATAAACCTCGTCAATACAATTTTTCCTATATTTTAGCTTTTTTTTTTATCAAAATAGCCTTAACAGTAGTTGTATTACCATAATGCTTAGCACGGTCATTTCGGTACTTAGAGTACCGTAATGCAGTAGCCATTACAATAATATGACTACCGTGAAGGCTATTTTGGTCAAAAAATATCAAAATTAAGGGAAAAAAAGAGTGTAGATGAGGTTTATGAAAGTTTGGGGCTTTTTTTTCAATTAGACGAAAATTAAAGTATATTTCTAATAATTTTCCAAAACCTTTTTTAAACATAACCATATATACGATTTTTTAAGTTTTTTTTTTTTTTTTTTGTATAATTTGAGTTCATGTTACTACTCAAAAATCTCAATTGACATCTACTTCATACCAAATAATATTGCAATTCATTTGTTAATCTCCCTTGAAAAAATCCTGCCGAAAATGACAAATGAGATAAGGAAAAAGTTTATATAGAGCTTAGGCTCTTAACAATCAAATTAGAGCCCACGTCAAAAATTTCACTAGAAGAGGTTGTTTTGATGCTCAAATTGATCATCTGGACATCAAGATACGTGGACATGAGAAAAAAATAGATTTTAAGTTTTGGAAATAGTGCATCTTGTAATGCATTTTTTTACCGTCAATTTTCACGATTTTCAAGTTTTCATAGATCTGATTGATCTGCATTAACTTTGAAGCTTTAAATTTATTATAAAAATGAAAATATATTTTAAGGCACAAAGATTTACAGTATTGTAACCACATTTCTCGACACTATTTGAAGGATACGCTTTACTTAGATTGTTTAGAGCCTCGGCTCTACCAATGAGAAAATGTCTATAAAAATTCATTTCCAATATTATCCCCATACCAATAACAATAATTGTCACAGGACTATGCCTCAAACCTTCAACTACCCTACTCTCCAAAATATAGAACAGAAGGTCTATGTCAGCAACACATCGCTCCTACCAATCACACAAGAAGCTTCGATTAAGTTTCTCTTAAATTAGATGTTCTTCATATCATTCTTTTCCATAATCGCAGTTCCATATATGAGCCAAGATTAGGCAGAACTTTTGAGTTCGTTGATATGATCATTAGGTTTAGTGGTAGCATAAAAGCACCCTATTTTTTTGTTTGGCATTCCCTTGAAAAGCTTCAATCACATTTGAGTAGGAAATGTCTCTCCATGAGGGAGAGAGAAATTGGCTTCATACCCTCCCCAGGTATGAACCACTTTCCCATGAATCAGTAGAGATTGCCACAATTTGTATGATCACTCATTTTATATAAGGATGTGGTTTCTATAAGGTTGCAACCTTAAACAATGTATAATGACTCATTTTATATATGGATATGGTTTCTATATGGTTGCAACCTTATACAATCCAATTAAGGTGCACTTCCAAATTAATTATTTTGGTGAAAAAAGTTCTTAAGATTATCTTAAAATCTATTTTCATCTCTAATTATAAAATTTCAAACTCCAAAAATTGTTAAAATCAAATAGATCGATAAACATATGAAAATCTTGAAAATGAACGGTCTTAAATAATATGTTGCAAGATGCACTATTTCTAAGACTCAAAATCCTTTTTTTTCATATTCATACATCTCGATGTCGAGATGATCAATTAGATGGTTTTTAAACATTAAAACAACCTTTTCCGATATAATTTGGAGGTGCATATGTAATTCTACATTTTAAGGTTGCAACATTATATAGACTTTTTCCTCTATATAATGACATACCCCACGGGGATTTTTTTCAAAAACCAAAAGTGGGAAATTGACAAGTTCATGGAAATCCCCTTCTTGGAGATGGATTCCCGGAAAACCAACCGTGAATGGTAACATAGGTATCACAAAAATATGATACGAAAAAACAACCAGAATTAGGAAAAAGAAGTAGATGAAAGAGGGTTGTGACATGGCAGATGGAGGTCCATTATTGCAAATTTTATGTGAAATAGTGAATCTAGTTTCCCATGCAGGACAAACAGCATATAAATGGAAATTCCAATTTTTGCCATGAAGTTCCGCTTTACATAAACAACATTTTGCAGACTTCATCAAACCAGGCATAAATAAATAGTTAAATATATGAGCTCAAAACCCTTATCATTTGTGACTCTGCCAAGATAGAACAAAAGAACGAGCCCTTTTGCAGGTGTGCAACGGACAAAAATCATTATTAAGCTCCCAGGATGGCTAACCTCTGTTTCAAAGAACCACAAACCCAGAGTCAGAGAGAGAGAGATATTACTATATCATTTACGCCAGAAAGACCAAGATATCCGATGGCCTCATTCAAAATTTACCAGGTGCTTCATATTACAACTTAAAATAGGTTGCTCTGTCCCATTCAGTGCCCAATTCTCTATCCCTCCAATCTGCATGAGCTTTCAAACATCACACCCACACACAATGGACCATTAAACAAGCACTAGTGCATGACTTCCATCAAAACCTCGAAGTCGAGCATCATTGACTAGGTCGCCTCTCAAGAAGTTCCCCACACACCATTCACCAAACAAAAACAAAAAATATAAATCCCCACCCATACTTCATATACAAGAAGTTAGAAGAAACTATATAGATATACTATTTACACTCCCACCAAAACTTCCCAAAGAAAAGGTAATTAAGAAAATCCCCCACTTCTCGCTCATTCAATCACATCACGACTCCTGACCAAACAAAGAAGAAGAAAAAAAAGATTATGCCCCAACACTGACTGAATCATCATCGCTACCTTCACTATCACTACTACTGCTACTCCCGCTTCCACTCCCACTCCCACTACTTCCACTTCCACTACTCCCACTCGAACTCGAGCTTGTTCCTTCACTCTCTTCAGCTGCATACACTTGGGCCCTCAGCGCCTCTGCTGCATTAGGCCCCTTGTCAGCCTCATCATCACTCAAGTCCACATCTGCAATCTCATCATCTGTATCGTTTTGATTATGGGCATTGGAATTGTTAAGGTTGGCATCTTGTGTAATAGCTTCCATTTTGTCATTCTTTCCGTCACTGTCATCGAATATTAAATCCACATTTTCCTCTGGGTCACTGTTCTTTAGGCCCTCAGGGGATGTCGTTAACAGATTTGGAGCATTGATATGATCATTGAACTTAGTGGTGGGCTTGACACCTGGGAGAAAAGATGAAGATGTTCACCGATTTACTCTCTCTTTCTCAAACATTTTCAAGATAGACAAGTACATGGATTCGTCACAAGAAGGCTCTATACTAGAAAACTACAAATACATTAGGATTTAGGCATTTCCAAATATATTAGGCATCTATGCAAATTAAAAGGTTAAATGGATTTACGAGACTCTAGATGAACGAACATCACCAGTATATGAATGAAACATGAATAGGTAATGACTGATTCTTCCAAACAATACTAAGAATATCATGTGTTTTTTAAGGACTAGTTTGGTGTGCAGAGTTCCACAAGTGGATGGTAGGAACCTGCTATGGCCCAATTCCAACCACTCACAAAACCACCACTATTTGAAAGCGGATAATTATTCTACAAAACATCCGAAGTCCAAGCAGATCATTTTGCAGAGCATTAACCAAGAGTGGGTTGACCATGGCTGGCACTTCATGTGGACTATCTAGAATGGTATGCCATGGTGTGTTACGGTTATGACTAAGCCCTTGAGGAGTGTTAGTTTGAGAAGATGGTTTCCCTTGTTACAATGATGTAAATGGAAGGAGGGAATATTCTTGTGCTTTTGTCTGCTTTTTAAAGTTTACAATCTTCTCCAGATGCATAGTGCACCTCTTTTTGAGGGTGCTTCATTGAGGTTGGTCCCTCACGGATTTAGTGTTCCCAAGGAGTGGCATAGTTGAGTCAGTATATCACAGTCACAACCACAATACAGACACTCCAAACGGAGACAAAATCAGACTTGACAGTTCAATCAGGTTATAGTCGAATAAAGACGTGTAGAAACCTGATTAAAGAGGCAAGAATAAGAAGGTTTCCCAAATGATCCTACCCGTTTCAAGTGGCCTGATCAGGACCAAATGAAGCATCATGCATGAGCTGCCCCTAGACAGGAAAAAGGGAGTTGGGCCAAACATTATCTTCTGCCTAGTAACCATATTTTTACTCAAAAACACAAAAAATGTGCTGAGCCTGAAAGTGTTCATTCTCAATCAAAGTTGGGGGCATATCCATAATGTAAACAAAATCAGATCTCAAAGACAGAAATAAGGGATCTTTACAATTTTACACTGTAAATACATCAAAAGGTCCATAGAACAGAATTTTACACTACAAATCACCACAAATGAATACTATAAATATAAACAAATGATGAAAGACTCAGAAATCAGAAAACTGGGGTTCTTAAACAAAAAATATGTTTCTACTACATATGAGCATCCAAGTAGACGAGTTAAGGATTAGATAACTTGGGTTTTATACAAAATTCACATTATGAATCAATAGATCAACAAAAATGAAAATTAAGGATTAGATAACTTGGGTTTTGTACAAAAGTGACACTATGAATCAATAGATAGACAAAAATGAAACTTATTTTTATCCTTTTTTAAATAAAAAATAAAAATTTAGGGTTTCATTAACTGGTAAAATTGGGGTTTCTGATATTCACATTTAAGAGGGGCGCCACTATCCCTTGGTGTCTCAGGGCACCACCTAGGTGTTTTGGGTGCCCTTTATACACTGTTTCAACCAACACATAATTTGGATTTTAACCTTGGCTCAATTAAAATCCATGATTAAGGAAATCTATTCCCTTCCGCACCCATGGTCTAAGAAGGGTGAGGACCTTAAACTTTCCCTTAACCCGTCCCATGTTCGGGTAAAAATGCTGGGTTGTGTTAGATAGGCAGCCAACGTAAAACTTTGCCAAAACTTATCATGAATCCTGAAGGTGGACCATGATTCGTGTAATCGACCCCAATTAGTTGGGAAAAAGCTTTGACGACGATGATTCCCTTCTGCACCCAGAGCATCTGGGGTTGAGTTCTTGATATTTAGCCACGTCGTTGCATCCTTTAATACCTTTTCTTCAAGGAATCTTCTCTCTTATTGTATTTCTTAGTCATGTTCTTCTAAGTCCCATGTACCATATTGCGCTCATCCATTGTTGTATATGGGTATTTGTAGTTAGTCTATGAGCAACTCTTTTCCAGTACTCTTGAATTAGCTAATGTCAGGATTGTGCATTGCATAAATACTGCTATGGGGTCGATCACTGGACTCCCACCTGTAGGATTAATGGAGCCATCTCCGGGTTTTGGAGATCAGTCTTAAGGTGCAATTAACATTTCTCTGGTTTTATACATTTTCGCCCAAGGAACGGGTCAAGGATATTATTTTGGGATGATAAATGGGTGGGCCGCAGACCATTGCGAGAACAGTTTCCTAACCTCTATCGGTTAGCAAGTGATATCCATTCGATTGTGGCTGAAAATTTTGGTCTCGCAGGCGCTCTTCGAACCTAATCGCCAAATGTCAGGGGGGCTCTCAATGACCATGAGCTTGATGACTTCGGGGCCCTAGCAATAATCCTCCAATCAGTGTTCTTCCCTGTTTCAGGTGAACACAGGATCATTTGGGAACCTTCCCCCATGGGGACCTTCCCAGTATCTTCTTACTACACCACCCTTTTGTCGAACCCCGTAGCTGCTGGCCCTTGTCCCACCATTTTATCTAAAGCCTGGAACACCTTTGCACCCCCTAGGATCCAAGTCTTTTGTTGGATAGCGATTCACGAGAAGGTGTTGACGGTGGACCTCCTCCAAAGGAGAGGAATGCAGTGCCCCAATAGATATGCAATGTGCTTGGAGGAGGAGGAAACAAATGCTCACTTGTTCCTCCAATGTGGGTTGCTAGAAGCTTATGGACAGTTGTATTACGCCTCTTTCAGTACTCGTGGGTTACCCCAAGCTCAATCCCACATTTGTTCCAAGCCTACCTCTTTTCGCCTTGGCCTAGGGCAGGACGAGAGCTTTGGAAAGCATCCGTTTCTGCCATCCGTTTCTGCCACCCTTTGGGTGCTATGGATTGAAAGAAATCACAGAATTTTCAGCGGAGCGAGATCCTTAATAGCGGTGTTGGCTAACAAAGTCACGAACTTAGTGCCCCTTTGGGCTTCCAACCACAAATTGTTTTATGACTACTCTTTTACTGACTTCCATAGGAATTGGAAAAACCTTCTCTTTGCGTCGCGTCCCAGAACTTCACGGGCATCTTGGTGGAAGCCATTGAAACTAGGTTCCATCAAACTAAACTTTGATAGCTGGTCCATTGGGAACGCTGGCCCTTCGGGAATTGGAGACCTCGTTAGGACCAGAGAGGCCTCTTTAGGACCAGTGGGGGGCATACTTTGCTTGCCTTCTCCTACACTATCGGTGTTGCAAACTCTACCCTGGCTGAAGCAAGTGCCCTGCTTAAAGGCTTGAAAAGTTTTAACAACAATTGGAGGTCTTCCTTGGTGGTTGAAGGAGATTCCAATCATATGGTGCCATGTCTATCAGTAAGTCAACTCGGATGCAAACCTCCTAGCCAAGGAGGGAGCCTATTCTAACACTCCGGGGCTACAAAAGTGCTATTGAACCCAAGAGTTGACCCCTAGGGACTAGAACTGCTCTTTTTCTTTTCTGAACCCCTACAGGTTGTATTGGGCTTCCCCTCGAGGAACCCCTTCAGTCTGTACTTTTTGATATTATTAATATAATAGTTAACCTTACTAAAAAAAAAACAAAACATGACAACGTTCATGCTTCTCAAAAAATGGCATGTCTATACATCTTAATGCTCTCAAAAAAGGGCACGTCAGAGTCAAGGGTGAGAGAATAGTCTCTATCTGGGATTAGCACATTATTTGGCTAAGGCTTCTACAGATGCGTTCGCCTCGCGTCAAACGTGTTTCCATGAGACTCTTAGCCCCTGCATCTATGTTCGGTCTCGTCAAAAACATGGGCCAATCTCCAAGGGGTAGGGGCTTGGCCAGAGGCCCATGATATAACATTTGAGTCTCCCTCAATGAGCAACAAAGTTTCCCAACTGCAGTCGAGGATCCTGACTCCCTCTACGAGGGCCAAAGTCTCAGCTATGGTGGAGTCAGTTTCCCCAATGGCTCTAGAAAAGGAGAAGATGGTTAGACCCTCGTAGTCGCTCATGGTACCTCTAATCCCCGCAGGCCTGCCTAGCGAGTAACCTCCAAAGTTTAGCTTTATTTGGCCAAGAATGGGGGGACGCCAAAACGAAGATGGAGGGATCCAGTAAAGTCTAAGGAGCAACATTAACTCCTTATTCAGCATGAAGTCAGAGTGGGAGAAGTGTTTGAAGGTCGGGTGATCCAGAGCCCAAAAGATCATAGTTTCCTTCACCCTGGCCTTTAAGGTAATGGTCAAGGACACTTCTCATAAAAAAAGTCCTATTGTTGCGCTCGATTCAGATGACCCACAAGGTGGCCGCTACAGATGCATACCAAAGGAGAATACTAGATTTGGCCCATGGGCCAAAAGAAAAGGAAGAGAGTACGTGGAGGACCGACCTAGGGGTGACCCGTGTATAGTGAAAAAACTAAAGGATGCTTCTCCAGAGTTCTGTGACCGTGTCGCAATGGATAAATAAATGTGAGTTGGTCTCAGCCTCAGTTCGGCACATCACACATCTGTTAGGGAGAGGCACCCCTCTTCTTTGAATGAGGTCTAGGGTGAGGACTCTTTCAGCAAGCACTAACCACATGAACAAATGGAGGCGAGGGGGAATGAAACGGACCTTTGACGAGATAAGGTTGGAAGGGGCTGAGACGATTAGGGTGGGTAGAAGGTTATAAGATGGAATGAGGCCACTGAAAAATGCCAGCTGCCGAGGGGGACCAAATGAGCCTGCCTTCCCCATGAAGAGGAAAGAAAGTGGGCTGCAGCAAAGAAGAGAGCTCTAGGAATTCATCCATCTCAACATCGGTGAGGGCTCTCTTGAAATCAGGAGACCACGATCTAGATAGCCCAACAGTACGGAAAGAGTGGGCAATTGAGACATCGGCGTCGCGGACCACCAAGAAGAGGTGAGGGAACTAGTCTTTGAGCAGGACATCCCCAATCCACAGGTCGGTCGCTCTATATCCACTCCGGGGCCAAAATCTAACCAAACGT